ACAAGTTTTTGGAAAACTATAGGGATATTGGAAAATAAAAGGGTCAAGAATGTACCTGAGGGAGCTGGAGAAATGACTTACACCACCACCACCACCACCACCACCACCACCACCACCACCACCACCACAGGATTTCTCTGTGTAGCTATGACTATTGTAGACTTAACTTGTAGACCAGGTTGGCCTTCAACTCAGAAATCCACCTGTTTCTGCCTCTGTTTCTCCAGATGCTGGGATTAAAGGCATGAGCCACCACCCCCCGCAAGGTGACTTTTTTCTTTTCCTTTTAAAGATTGATTGATTGATTGATTGATTGATTGATTTTCGAGACAGGGTTTCTCTGTATAGCCCTGGCTGTCCTGGAACTCACTCTGTAGACCAGGCTGGCCTCGAACTCAGAAATCCGCCTGTCTCTGCCTCCCAAGTGCTGGGATTAAAGGTGTGCGCCACCACTGCCCGGCTATTTATTCTTTTCTTACACAATACATCCTGACTGGAACCTCTCCTCCCTCTACTTTTCCCAGTCTTCCCCCAACCAACTCCCTTCTTCCCTCAGATCCACTGTTTCTCTGTTTCCCTTCAGAAAGGAGCAGGTATCTCAGTGTTATCAACTGAACATGGTAATAACAAGATGTACAGCATAACAAGATGCAACGAGACTAGACACAACCTCTCATATCAAGGCTGGATGAGGTAACCCAGGAGGAGGTAACCTTACAAGCCTCCTAAGAACAGGCAAAAAGAGTCAGACACCCCCACTCCAATAGCAGTCCTATAAAAACCCTGAGCTAAACACTACAGCATACAGGCAGAGGATCTAGTACAGACCCATGTAGGCTCTGTGATTGCCACTTTAGTCTCTGTGAGCCTCTAGGAGCCTGCTTAGTTGATTTTGTGGGCTGAATTTTCCTGTTGTCCTCAACCCTTCTGACCCCTACAATTCTTCCTCTCTTCCTCCTATAATTCTTCCTCTGTTCCTCAGGGTTCCCTGAGCTCCACCTTGGATGTGGGTCTCCACATCTGCTCCCATCAGCTTCCAAGAAGCCTGGGATTGGGCTAGGCAGAGTGTTTTAAAGAAAACTAGCTGCTCTTCTACAGGACCAGCTTTGATTCCTAGCACCCACTATAATGCATAACTGTCTGCAATTTCATTCCAGAGGCCTCAACAGGTACCCTAGGCACTTACACGGTGCACAGACATACAAGCAGGCCAAACACTTATACACATAAAATAAAAATCATAGTTCAGTAGTAGAATGCTTGCCTAGCATGGTCAATGACCTGGCTATTTTTTTTTATGATTTATTTATTCATTTATTCATTTATTTTATGTATATGAGTACATCACTGCTCTCTTCAGACACACCAGAAGAAGGCATCAGATCCCATTACAGATGGTTGTGAGCTACCATGTGGTTGCCAGGAATTGAACTCAGGACTTCTGGATGAGCAGTTGGTGCTCTTAACCGCTGAGCCAACTCTCTAGCCCATGACCTGGCTTTCATCCCCAGTATCTCCTCAAAATAAACAAGCAACAAAAAGAGCATTTTTCATTTTAATATAGTAATCCATGGTTTTAATACCAGCAGTTGGTGGATAGCAGGAGAATCAGGATTTCAAGGTCATTTATAGCTATACCCTGAATTTAAAATCAACCCAGGCTACATGAGATCTTGTCTTAAAACAAAACAAAGTTTAAAAGGCAGAAAGGGAGAGTCTCCCCACTAGCTCATATGAGCAACTTAACTAAACTCAGTAGGTTAGAGGCTGGAGAGATCGCACAGTGATTAGAGTACTTGCTGCTCTTCTAGAGGACCCAGAATTGACTTCCAGCACCCATAGTAGCTTGCTCACAGCTATGTACTATATTGTAGGTGCTGGAATCAAAGCTGGTATTCTGGAAAGAGTTCTTAAGCAATGAGTCTCCATGAATATACTCTTGACCCTTTTATTTTTCAACATTCCTAGGTTTCCTAATGACTTGTTCCTGATGTTGATGTCCTATAAAGAGATCTTTCCTTTGGCCAGGGCTCTGGTGTCTGTATGGAAGTAGCCTTTGTAGTTAATTCCAGAGAATCCAATGCCTTCTTCTGGCCTCTGCAGGCACCAGATACACACATGATACACAAATATATACACAGGCAAAATACTCAAGACACAGAAAAAAATAAACCCTTAAAAAGAAAGAGTAGGGCTGGAGAGATGGCTCAACAGTTTAGAGCACCCAGTTTAGGTACTGAGTTCAATTCCCAGCACCCATAGTGGTTCATACTATCTATAAAGGAATCTGATGCCCCCTTCTGGCATGCAGGTGTACATGCATTAGAGCACTAACACACTAAATAAGATAATTAACTAAACAAAATAAATAAGTAAAAATAAAAAAGAGTAATGAAAGGTAAAGACAATCACAATACATTGTGTATATGTATAAAATTGCCAAAAGACTTAAAATTTAAAGAAAAACAAAAACACCCAGAAACCAGTTCCTACAGAGAAAAATAAAATGTGGAAGTGTAAGCAACCCCAAAAACTAACCAGACTCCTGAAAAGCACCTGAAATCTGCCACTTGCAATTTCTTTTGTTGTATGTACAACTGATGGGCACAGAGCCAGATGTTGTGGCCAATACCTGCAATCCTGGCAAATGGTAAGTGGAGGCTTCAATTACACAAGAGTTCAAAGCCATCCTGGGCTACATGAGATTCTATCTCAAAAAAATAAAAAATTCTTACAAATATGATATATTTCAAGTCTTCTAAAGACTACCATCTCCTGAACTCTGAATTTGGGAAATGCTAGTTTCTTTGGGCAAAAATAGCCTGCATCTTATGGGACTTCTAGATTCAGGGTCTGGTGCAGGTTCCACATTAGGGTCCTGGAATGTTCTTCAACATAACCAGTGTTTGAAGCAGGAGAATTTCAAGTTCCAGATCAGCTAAGAACCTGTCTTAAAAAGGGAAAGAAGCCAAACATAGTGGCCCACATCTTTAACCCCAGATAGTGGCAGGCAGAGAACTTCTGAATTTTGAAGGCCAGCCTGGTCTACTCCGTGGAGTTGTAGAACAGTCAGAACTACACATTGAGACACTGTTTCAATAAATAAATAAATAAATAATAAATAAAAGCCAAGTGTAGTAGTATACTGTTTAAGGAACTACAGAGTTCAAGGCCAGACTGGGATTGAGACCCTATTTCTCTTAGTGTGTGGTCTGCATATATGTAGATAGAATAAATAAAAGGAGGGCTAAGGATACAGCTCAGATGACAAAGTGCTTGCCTATCCTTCACACACACACACACACACACACACACACACCCCTCACCCAGACTGAGTCTGAGGCAGAATTTGAAACTTCAAGTCAGTCTGGGCACTTTGGTGAACCATTTCAAAACAATAACAAGGAATTGGAATATAGCTCTATTGGAGAACAGAAGGCCTGGTATACTATGTGTGTAGTGGAGGATGACCTTGATCTTCTTCCCTTAAACAGTGTACTACTACACTTGGTTCTATTTATTTAGCTTTTGCCAGGCCTTGAGTTCAACCCCAGGTCCAAAAACAAAAAAAGTAAAATGTGTAAAAGTCCATGAGACAGGCATAGTGGCACACACCTGGCTGCAATACTGAACTTGCGAAGCTGACACAGGAAGACTGGCTGACACCAGCCTGGGGTACTAAGGCTGACCCTAGAAGGGAGAATTAGCCTTCCCTGGAGATGAACTCCCTAAATGGTTATCCAATCCCAAATGGTAAGCTTTACAAACAAACACATAGAGGCAACACTAAGTGGACTCGGCAGGTTGCAAGAGGAGGGACATGGGAGTGGCTGGAGGAAGATCAAGTAATTATATTTGAATTAAAATAAAGGTTCATTGGGTAGAGAAAACTTGCCCACGATTTTTCAGTCCTGGATAAATCATCAGTACCACACAAACACAAAAAAGGTTCATAACTTTCAAAGGAATCTACCTAATATCTAGCATCCTCTAAACAATGATCCTCACCAAATGACCCTAATAAAAAGGAATACATTATGAGACAGTGCAACTACGGTTCACTGAAAAATCCCTACTCCAATACTGTGTTCCAGGCACTTGACAGAAATGATCTCATACACACACACACAGGCACACGCACCCACACTTGGAAGACAGGTACCCACATGAAAGAGGTGGAAAACAAGGCCTGAAAGTTTAACTCACTCGGGGTTAGCACAGCCAACTCCTGATTCAAACCTCAGCTGTCATACTGTCCTACCCACCACAATGAATTAACAAGTCAGGGTAGGTGTTCGGACTAGAAAACTGGTAAACAATCAGCAGCAAGCCGAAGGAACAGATTGATCGTATTTATAAAAAAAAAAAAAAAATAGGGCACCAGGGTAGCCCACGACCAAGTGACTACTGACTCACATTTAAAGGAAGAGTCGGGCCGCCAAACTGAACTGACAGGCATCAAACACCCTCAAAGTTGAAAGGAATCTTGTCACCCCACCCCTGAGCCACAGGTCCTCCAACGCCAGAATCCGGGCGACTCTGGAGCCCCCGGGTCCCGCGGCGCCCCGAGCCCCTTGCCCGCGCGGCCACCGCTACCTACGGACGTAGGGCTCCTCGCGGCCTCCCGCCCCCGGGCTGAGGCCTAGGCCAGGGCCGCCCACCCCGACCCACCGCGTCGCCTCCCGGCCCGAGGCCCAGCGCTAACCGTTGTATGACTTCCCTTCGTCCGCCATGGCACAGGCAGGTACAGGGGCGGGCTCAGGCGCAGAACCTGACGCCACCAAACGCCCAGACGCCTTGGCGCTCAGGACAGAAGCTCTCCTACGACCGGCGCCACCGCATTTATCCGGCGAAGCACGTCGCGCGCCGCCGACGTCCCCAGGATGTGGGCGGTGCCGCGGGGCGGGAACGCGCTCTCTGAGCCTGCGCAGAAACAGGGCGGCCGCTCGGAGGCGTGGCCAGGCCCTCCGAGGCCCGCCCACGGCCGGAGCTCCGGGCGCGATGGCTTATAGGCCGGCCCCGCCTTCCTACTACTCCGCTGGCCCTGCAGCGCCGGTGTTCGCACTGGAGCTGAGCGGTCTGCTTTAGCACTGAACTCGGAGGAGCAGAGACGAAGGCTACACAGAAGAATGGAGACCTGGCCTCTGATCGGGAGTAACGGCTCACAGTCCCCGCCGGTGGGATCCCGGTAGCGTGTAAGTCGCAGCTCAGTTCCTTGCCAGCCGCCGGCCTATGCCCTCCCAGCTTTTTTTCACCTCTACGACGGATTATGACGAAATAGAAAGTTCGAATGTAAGCCCCACTGGAGCAGGAACCTTAACTAATGCACAACTTTTCTTCCTCCAGCACACCTGGCACAATATCATGCCCAGTGTGAAACCCAAGTGTGAATTAAGCGAAATCCTCTCCTGTTCCCTTGTAGGTCTTCTACAAATTGCCTAAACAAAAAAGCGGCAGGCCAGGTGTAGTGGCACAGGTCTTTAAGCCCAACATTTGGAAGGCTTAGGCAAGCGGATCTTTGAAGTTGAGGCCAGTCTGGGCTCTATAAAAATTTCTAGGACAGCCAGAGCTATGTAGAAACCTTGTCCGACCCCTCCCCCTCCAAGTTTTAGTCTCAGTATCAGTACTTTGTCTACATATCGAGCACAGAGATAACGAAGGTTACATAGTGAGGTCGTTTCAAAACAAAATCAGGGATCTAGTGAGCCTTGATCTTCACTCGAAACCCTAGCCGTCATGCTGAAGCCGAGTTGGTAGACTCAGGTAAGGTAGGTAAAGTTGCTAGCAGTGATGGTTTTTTGTTTTGAGACAGGATTTCTGTAGAACTCTGGTTGTCTTGAAGATCAAATTGGCCTCAAACTCAAGAGATCCACCACCTGCTTCTTACTCCTAAGTGCTGATTGAATTTTTTGTTTGTTTTGTTTTTCGAGACAGGGTTTCTCTGTGTAGCCCTGGCTGTCCTGGAACTCACTCTGTAGACCAGGCTGGCCTTGAACTCAGAAATCTGCCTGCCTCTTCCTCCCAAGTGCTGGGATTAAAGCTGTGAGCCACCACTGCCCAGCTGATTGAAACTTTTAAATGGCAAACCCAAGAGCTTTTCTAGGAAGTTTTTGGTGTGGCTAGGATTCTTACGGCTCAGATTCCTTGGATCCAGATGCTGCTGTGGGAGGGGAGCAGATCAGGCACTGGAAGGTATGAAGCATGACTTTAATACTGATCGGGAAGGACGAAACTCACTAACCTTCCTTGAGGGTCTGCGTTAAGTGGATCCATTTTGCAGTGGTTTTGCTGAGGATCTCAGAAGGCATCAAATTGGGGCCAAAGTTCTTTTCTCACAGCAGCAGAGCTCTTGCTTCACTCAGGTCAAAAATCAGGACCCAGTGATTTGAGTGAGGATAGAGACAGAACAGGCTCACACTGTGTTTGGGACAGTCCTGGAAGTTGCCACCCAATTATGAATCCACTTGGCTCCAGTTCAAAGGAAAATTCTAATGAAGTGCTGTTGTACTTCGCTACTCCCTTCTAGGAGGGAGTTGTGGGCACAGAGCTCCAAAGTTACCCTGCCTATCAGTGGGGGCCCATCAGAGCCACCAACTTACCCCTTTTGGTTCTGGTATTAAGCAATGGTTTGCTTGCTGCTGAAGCCCATGACAACCCCACCCAGAAATGACAACATCGCTAGTGAGGCTGACAGTCTTGCTGTAATTGGGAGGAAACGGGCTGCAGCATGTTTGGCAGATTGAGAGTCACCAGTAGCCAAGGTCAGGTTTGTGCAGGCAACTGTAGGGCTCAGAGCCCCCTCACCTCACATGGTGAGGAGAAGGCGGGAGTCAAGTTCTAGCTGACCCAGATGATAAAGTTGGTCCCTGGGATAGTTTTACTTCCTTGCCTCACTCTCAAGAAGGTAAGGAAGGGCATTATCTTCTCTTGCTGCCAGTTACCTTAGGGGGAGGCTGGTATGGGTTTATAAAAATCTCATGGTGGAGACACCCCCCCCCCCCCACTGGCCCTTAGCTGGCTTCTGTTCCCAGCCATTTCACAGCAGAGTCCAAATCCAGAACCAGTGTGTTTCATAGGCCTGAGGGTAGGACAGAGTGGCCAGAAACAAGGGTAGGAAATCAGGGACACTGGCCATTCTTAGCAGTTCCAAGGAGATGACCTTTCTCCCAATCACCTTGCACAGGCTCAGTGGCCATAGTGGCCACCTGTCCTCCCAGGAGGGTCCCAAGCCCTCCATGGAGTGGCTCAGAATGAGGGAGGAGGGCTCAGGCAAGGAAGACCACAAAGATGATGAAGAAGACAATGAGGATGAGGAAGATTTTGACCATGAGCCACCGATTGGAGGTGACTGACTGGAAGTACTTGAGGATCTCTGAATGGGCGGCCTCAACATCCAGCTGGGCTCCAAGCACATTCTCATCGATCCTGGAAATAGGAGATAAAATAAGAGGAAGGTCAAAGACATCCATTTATTGATATGGAAAGGTGATCACAATATGTGGAAGTAAAAAGTGTTTCATACTATGTGAACTCTTGTGTGTGTGTGTACATACATATATACATACATATACACACACAAATACATACAGACACAAGTTTTTTGAGGGTAGTAGACCATGCCTGACTCTAGCTTTAAAACAGTCTGCCAGTTATTAGCTTATGATTGAATTATTTAACCAGTCTTATTTTCTACATCTGAAAAATGAGATAATTGATATAAACCTTTCATAAGGTTTCAAATTTTCAGTGAATTAAATGAACCCCCAATTTATATGAGCACCTCAAATGCTATAAGTTTTACTCATTAATATTTCCTGATTTTTTTCCTTCAGTAATGAACATGTATTACATTGTGATAATTGAGGGAAGTTCAAACCATTACAGTCAGAAAATCCTGGCTGGGTGATGAGAATCTCTTAATATAGACAGGCACTCAAAGGATAATACAACCCTTATATCCAGAGAACATTCTCTTAGGGGAACAACTCCTCACTGAGGCAAACAAAACCTTCTCCAGCCAATCTACATATACAATCCTAAAACCCAAATATTGTAGCTAGGTAGGTAGCTCAGTAGGAAAGTGCTTGCTTGGCAACCAAGAGGACCTGAATTTGGATTCCAGCACCCACAGAGCAAGCTGGCCACAGTCTTAACTGTGCCTGTAACCAGAGCACAGTAGGTAAATGTAGAAAGTAGGAAAGAGCTGGGTTTTGCTGATTGAGAAAAAACAAAAAACACCCAAGTTTTAGGCTAACGAGGAGACCCTACCTCAAAGAGAATAAAGTAGTCAGACATGGTGGCGCATGCCTTTAATCCTAGCCCTGGGGAGGCAGAGGCAGGCTAATCTGATTTTGAGGCCAGTCTGGTCTACAGAGTGAGTTCCAGGGCTATACATAGAAACTCTATCTCAAAATTTTTTTAAAAAAAGAAAAAAATATAATAATAAGAGGACATCTGATCCCTCCTCTGGTCTACACATGCTCATACAACACAACACACATGCCTTTAAAGAATTTAAAACCCAAATACCATCCTATGTCACAAGATAATTCAGACACTGTGGCCTACATATAAAGCATGACAGTCCACTAGGATTGCACTGCCTACTGACATGAAAGTTGGCTGAGCTCACATAACTATACTCTGCAGTAAAATCATCTTTAAAGACACAAATTTTAAGACACAGCCCTATTTGTAAGTAATGCCTGATGAGACACACCTTGACTTTTGCAAATGGAAATCTGTGACAAAGAGCCCTCTAGGAACTGAGTATGGCCTATGTGGGGCCTTGGCAATCTGGCTAGAAATGTAGAGGAAGGGCTGGCAAGGGGGTGCAAGGCTAAGGTCCCATGAAGACAAACGTGATAACTGAGTTCATCCCAGCATCTTAAATTCAGAAGCCTGAATTGTGGTTCTTGTTTTTCTATGTTGGAGAGGACAAAGTTTCAGGTTCATAGCTTTTGGCCATAATTACTTTGTTTTGTTTTGAGACAGGTTCTGTGTAGCTCTGGGTCTTAGAACTTATTACTTAGACCAGGCTGGTCTCAAACTAAGACTACCTTTGAGTGCCTGGGATTAAAGTCATATGCTACCATGTCCAGCCCTTCATTAATGTGAGTACATTTGGTTTTGTTTTTTAAAGAATGTATTTATTTAATGTATATGAGTACACTATCACTGTCTTCAGTTACACCAGAAGAGTGCATTGGATCCCATTACAGATGGTTGTGAGCCAACCATGTAGTTATTGGGAATTGAACTCAGGACCTCTGGAAGAGCATTCAGTGCTCTTAACCACCAAGCCCTGTGAGTACATTTGTTATCTCCCAGTGAATAAAGCTCATTTTGGCAATTATAAATAGCTTTGCTTAACAAAAATAAACCTTATCAATGCAACCTGGTATATAAGAGATTACAGAGTTGCTGGGGAAGATGGCATAGCAGGCAGGGTACTTGTCTAAGGATCTGACTTACGTGCCTGGGAGCCATTGGGGAGGAGAGAAACAACTCCACAGTTGCTGTGCTACTCATGCACCTTAACATACCTGCAGGCAACACTACTTCTGCTGGGTTGTTTTCACTTTTTATTTTTCTGAGACAAGGTCCTACTGTGTAGCCCTGGCTGACCTGAACCTCACTATGCCTGGCTGGCTTGGAACACATAGAGATAAACTGTCTTCAAATTCTGGGATTAAAGGTGTGCGCCACCATGCCTGGTTGGGAAAAAATTTTTTTCTTTTTCAGTTAAAAAGGCTAGAGAGATGGCTCAGTGGTTTAAGAGCACTGGCTGTATTTCCAGAGATCTTGAGTTCAATTTCCAGGTACCGCATGGTGGCTCACAACCATCTATAATGGTATTAGATGCCATCTTCTGGTTGTCTGAAGATAGTGATAGTGTACTCACATATATAAAATAAATGAATTAAAAAAAAAAAGTGTCACAAATAAGTCCAGGCAGGGATGGTGGTACAGAGCTTTTTTTTTTTTTTTTTTGGTTTTTCGAGACAGGGTTTCTCTGTGTAGCCCTGGAACTCACTCTGTAGACCAGGCTGGCCTCGAACTCAGAAATCCACTTGCCTCTGCCTCCCAAGTGCTGGGATTAAAGCCGTGCGCCATCACCACCTGGCGGTACAGAGCTTTTAATCTCAGCATTTGGGAGGGAGAAGGGGTCAGTCAGAGTTCCATGCCGGGACTACAGAACAGACTGGAAAAAAACCTTCATAATCAAGGATATGTAATTTATGTCTAGATGGAGCTTTAAAATTTTTCTTACTTATTTTTTATACTTATTAAAAATTTTATTTAAAATTTAAAATTTATTTAAAATTATTTATTATTAACTTAGTAATAACTTATTATTAACTTATTATTATTTAAAATTAACTTATTTAAAATTTTTCCTTTATACTTATTTTGTGTGTCTGTGTGTATAGATATGAGTATGCATGTGCCACGGGCCTCATGTGGAGGTCAAAGAACATGATGTGGGACTTGGTCCTCTTTCACCTTGTGGGTTCCAGGGATCAAACTCAGGCCATCAGGCTTTATGGCTAGCAACCTTACCTGCTAAGCTTTGCCTTGAGTTTTTCATTCAAGAGGGAAAAAGCTAAAAACAATGACTGAGTGTGTAACTTAGTGGTAGCACACTGTCCAGCATGTACAGTGTCCTGGGATTGATGCTGGGAAAGACACCTGTCCTCCCTGATGTAAAGGCAATCTGATATTAAAGACTTCCTAATGAGATACAAATTACACAGCATCTTCTTTCAAGTTATTCCATACAAAGTAATATAAGCAGAGCCACTGAAACCTGTATTTGGTTTTCCAAAGAACATTGGAGAACCAAGCTTTTCAGTTTTGAAAGAATAGTAACAAGGCCAGCAAACAACTTCAAGCTATAGGACACTTAAGAAATGCAACCTTTTCTCTTGACAAGGCAGGATAGTCAGGAAATAAAAAGAGCATCAATCAGGAAAAACTCTCCTGTACCCCATACTGATATACATGTCTAGCTGGCTGACACCTCAGGAGTTTTTGTTTTTGTTTTGTTGGGTTTTTTGGGTTTTAGTTTTTCGAGACAGAAATTCTCTGTATAGCCCTGACTGTCCTGGAACTCACTCTGTAGACCATGCTGGCCTTGAACTCAGAAATCCGCCTGCCTCTGTCTCCCAAATGCTGGGATTAAAGGCATGCGCCACTACCACCTGGCTAGGAGTTTTCAATACAATGATCACACCAACTTCATCAAGAACTGTAATCCCCGTTCACAGGTTCACTGTCTTTCTGCTTACTAAACTCAACTTTGTTTCCCCCTGAGTTGTCCTGGGATTCTTTCCTGAGTGAAGAACCCATACCCCTCAGACTCTACATACTTCTCAGGCTGCTCTGTCACATTGCTGCTCTATCACTGACATTTTCTGCAGCTGACGTTTTAAGTCAACTTTTTAAAAAGGTGTGTGTATTTGAGGAACATAATATGCTCAATTTTTGATTCTTCTCTCCATTCCTTCCCCACCCCTTTTTCCTCTTGTAGCACTAGAACCGGATGTAGGGCCTTGCTTTATCATTGAGCTATTTGTAAGCTCTTTTTCTTATATATATGGGTGTTTTGCCTGCATATATGTGTACCACATGTCTCCCTGGTACCTGCAGAGGCCAAAAGAGGGTGCTAGGTCCCTGGAACTGGTGTCACAAGGGTTGTAAGATGCCATGTGGATATTCAGAATCAAACCCAGATTTTCTAGAAGAGCAGCCAGTACTCTTAATGACAATGCCATCTCTCTGGCCATTATCTTTTAATTCTATCTGAGACAATCTTATGAAGTTGTCCAGACAGGCTAGCATCAAACTAACAATCCTCCCAACCTCAGGCTCCAAAATTCCAGGATACAAGCAACAAACCATGACTTTCCCTGCTTCATTCTGAAACAAAACTGGAAGATTGTCTGATCTTTTTGCTTTCCCTTTTTTCCCCACTGTGGTATTAAGAATTGAATCCATAGGCCTAGTAGACCCTAGGGAAATAAACATTCTATTATTGTATACTAGCTTACCTATTAGCTTGTTTGTTTTTTGGAACTGGGCATTAAAATATAGCCCAGACTGGCCTTGAACTTCCCATGTAGCCAATGACCTTTTACTTCCTGGTTCCTATCTTCGTCTCCCATGTGCACCACACCAGGCTCCTCCAGTTTTTGTTTTTTTAACATTTTTTGTCATGTGTATCTATTTGTCTGTGGAGGTTTTAGATCACATGTAGCTAGAGTTATAAGTGGTTTTAAGTCACCTGATATAGATGCTGGAACTGAATTTGGGTTCTCAGGAAGAGCAGTGAGTGCTCTTAAACCCCTAGCAATCTCTTCAACCTCAGATTTTATTTGTACTGAAGTGTGCGTGAGTGTGTGTGCGTATCTAAGGGTACTGCTGCCAGAACAGTCAAGTTGGGTATCCTGTTCTATCATGTTCTCCGTTTCTCTCACTTATCCTAAACTTTGCTATTTTAGCTAGGTTGGCCAACCAGTGAGCTGCAG